GAGTCCAATTCTAATTGCTTTCCTTTAAATACATTCTCGTGCCTGTATGCGGTAGAGCAGTAGTTCTCTAAGTTTTGGGCCTCAGGACACCTTTTCACTATCAAAAATTATTGAGGACCTCAATGAGCTTCTGTTTATGGGTTTTATTGGTATTTACCATATTAAAAATTAAAACAGAAAAAATTTTGGTCACTTACAAATAACAAAACCCATTACAAGTTAATATAAAGAACATTTGTAAGTGAAAAATAACTATTTCCCAAAACCTCAGTGAGAAAAATGGCATTTTTATATTTTTGCAAATCTCTTTATAATGTCTGACTTAAGACAGCTGAATTCTCGTATCTGCTTCTGTATTCTCTGTGTTGGGATATCTTGCTTTAGTTGAAGTATATGGGGGAGGCTGGCCTCATATAGGTAGGTAATTGGAGAAGGGAAGAGTGTATGAATCGCCTTTGCAGATAATGTAGATTAGATATTTTTTATTAGATATTCTTTATTTTTTTTAATTTTATTGTTATGTTAGTCACCATACATCATTGGTTTTTACTAGATATTCTTTAATACTACACTAGTACTCGACAAGTGGTAGTTTCTTTTTTTTTTTTTTTTTAAGATTTTATTTATTTGCCAGAGAAAGAGAGTGCGAGTGAGCACAAGCAGGGGGAGCGGCAGGCAGAGGGAGAGGGAGAAGCAGGCTCCATCCCAGCAGGACCTAAGCTGAAGGCAGACGCTTAACTGACTTATGCACCCAGGCGCCCCCAAGTGGTAGTTTCTTAAAGATTAGTTGCAATGTGGCGTCTGAAACTATCAATAAATTTTTTGTACCCTGTTACAGTAAAATCCATTAGTCTTTCTCGAGCTTTGAATGGATCTCTTATTTGTTATCTATTGCTCTAATACAAATTACCCCCCCCCCCAACTTAATGGCTTAAAATCACAAACATTTCTTTTTTAACAGTTTCTGTGCATCAGAATGTGAGCATCACTTCCCTGGGTAGTTTTGATTCGGGGTCTCTCATGAGCTACTGTTATGATGTTGGCCAGCGCTGCCATTCTCTGAAGGTTTGAAGACAGAGGATCTGCCTCTAACCTCATTCATATGGCTGTTGTCAGGCCTTCATTCCCCATATGAATGAGTCTCTCATTGGCTTCTTGAGTGTCCTCAACACATGGCAGCTGGCTTCCCCCAGAGCCAGGGATCCCAGAGAGAACAAGGCAGAGCCACAATGTCTTTTATGAACTAAACAGAAGTCACACACCACCACTTCTGCTACATTCTATTCACAAGATTCACTGAATAGAGTCCACATTCAAGGGCGAAGGGAATTAGCTTCCATCTTTTGAAAGAGAGGTATCAAAAAATTTGTGGACATATTTTAAAACCAGAATACTCATGATTGTGTAACATCATGCATTGGTCATTGGGAAAATACTTGTTCACTAAATTACAAGGATCTTTTAAATGTTGATAATTTCATTGTGTTTTTCAAAAAAACCACGTCAATATTACTACTGATCTCATTAGGTATCACTACACACCTATTAGAATGGCTAAAATTGAAAGAAAAACAGTGATTATACAAAATGCTGGAGAGAATGTGGAGAAACTCATACGTTGAAGGTGGGAGGGTAAAATGATATGACCACTCTAGAAAACAGTTTGAGTTTCTTATAAAACTAAACATGCATTTAGCATACAACCCAGCAATTGCACTATTTTCTTCATGCAAAACCGTGTAAACAGATGTTCATGGCAGCTTTATTCATAACAACCTGATACTAGAAACCACCACCCAAATGTCTTTCGATGGGTGAATGGTTGAACAAACTCTGGTGTAGTTCACTCACAGATTCCTGTCATTTCACAAATCTGATAACTGGATCCTTTATATCATCAATGAAGTCATTGTCAAAAACATTGAAAAAAGTAGGGTTGATAGGAACATCTTGAGTCTCCTGAATCTGCTTTGACAATGATTGGCTACTAGGTTGCTCAACAGCTAATCTTAACGAAAGTCACCCCAATTGTCTACATTCTTCTCGTTTATTGGGTGGGGGTTGCATGTATCCAAAATCCTACCCCTTATATTTCCCTATTCTTAATAAGCCTGCTTAATAGGTTTTTAGAAATTCATGCATGCTCAAGCGATAGTAACATTTTAATAATTAATTCTATATGTGCAACTCACTATATCTTCTTCCTTTTAAAGGGGTCCTGGAGTGGCTCCTGCAGATTTCCAGTAGCTTCCCATTCTCTATCATTCATCCTCGATCATGGGCAGTGTTCCCACAATCTCACCTGCAATTTTCCTAAATTGGGAATATTTATTGTCCAAGCAAAATTCTTACATCAGTTGAAGAAGTAGGATGCCCACCAAAAAAATCTTTGTATCTACCTTAGGTTTGTATCAGCCTATTTGCACTATCATAACAAAATACTGTCACAGACTGGATGATTTCAAAAACAGAAATGAATTTTCTCACAGTTCTGGAGGATGGAAATCCAAGACCAAAGTGCCAGCACAGGGGGTGTCTGATGAGGCTTCTCTCCTTGGGTGCAGACAGCTGCTTTCTCAGTGTCCTCACATGGCTTTTCTTCTGTTCTTGTATAGGGAGAAATCTCTGGTGCCTCTCCCTTCTTCTAAGGAGACCAGTCCTATAGGATTAAAGCCCCACCCTGATGACTTCACTTAACTGTTATTAAAAGCCTCCTTAAACCTCCTCACTTAATCTCCTGAAAAGCCCTATTTCTAAATACAGTTGTCACATTAGGGGTTAAGGAGGCAACATATGAACTGGGGGGTAGGGAAGGCTTCAATTCCTCTGTCCAATGCTTGTTTTACCGTTTTCCAAATATGATACAATTAAAAAAAATGAAATTGATGAGTAGTTGTTCTTGTTACTTAATAACAATATACTATGAGCAATGGACTTGTTTCTTCTTCAAATTCAACTTTCAAACCCTTTTTGATGTTTTCCAGATTTTTCATAAATTTTTACTCATTTGACGCTTTACCCAGATACTGTTCTTGATTTTGTCAAGTATTCTATTTGATTTTATGTTCTTTCTGTCCCAGAGGCATTAGAAAGATAAAGTTCAGAGCTATAAGTAGTAGCTCATTCTTTATTCTGTGATGAATACCCCACCTTCCCCTCCATCTGCTACTTTCTTATCTTTCTACTGTATTTGATCTTAACTCCCAAAAAGCTACCTATGTTTGGGGAAAAGTTGTAAAGCCTAGGACAGCAAAAGTAATGCTGTTCTCAATGTACCCTTTTAATATTTCTGCATTGAGAAATAGGAAATCAAACAATAAAAACAAGGGATGCCTGGGTGGTTCGGTTGGTTAAGCATCTGCCTTAGGCTCAGGTCATGATCCCGGGGTCCTGGGATAGAGTCCCACATCGGGCTCCTTGCTCAGTGGGGAGCCTGCTTCTCCCTCTCCCCCTCTCCCCTGCTTGTGCACTCCCTCTCTGGCAAATATTTTTTTTTTTTAAGATTTTATTTATTTATTTGAGAGAGAGAATGAGAGAGAGCACATGAGAGGGGGGAGGGTCACAGGGAGAAGCAGACTCCCGCCGAGCAGGGAGCCCGATGCGGGACTCGATCCCGGGACTCCAGGATCATGACCTGAGCTGAAGGCAGCCGCCCAACCAACTGAGCCACCCAGGCGCCCCTCTGGCAAATATTTTTTAAAAAATTAATAAATAAAAAATAAAAACAAGAGGCTTTCAAATGAATAAACTGAGGTTTCCAAGCATAAAATAAACTTTGAAAACTTAAATCATTCTTTAATTTTTATGTAATCCATACAAAGCTCCAATAGAGAAATAGCTATCCTCAAAACGTAAGTATTGAGGTGAAAATACAATTAGATGAGGTTTCACCCCCAATTTTTTAAAGTTTATTTAAGCAATCTATTTGTTAAAGAACTCACAACCCGGAGATTAAGGGCTGCATGCTCTACCAACTGAGCCAGCCAGGTGCTCCTCACCCCGAATTTCTAAAGTGCTGGAAAACTGCTCAGAATCTCAGAAGGTACAGATACCAATCTCTTCTGATGTCTGTAGCCTAAATGAGCAGCAAAAAATATCCTGCCTCTAACATATCTTAGGGACTGCATGTCCTTCATCTTCCTTAGGGGTCTACCATGACCAACATTTCACCAAAAGCTGCCTCACTGCATCCTGCTTTCTGTTTAGATATTTTTAAATAATAACATATACTGAAGGAGAAAAAATTGGCAGGGATGCATGCCACACTATAAACAATGGTTTCTGGAATACCAAGGGACTTTTACTTTAGCATTTCTGAATTCCTGTAATATTTAAATTCAAATGAGCATGCATGTCTTTTTTTTTTAAGCAACTTTAAAAAGTTGATTTTTTATAAGGAAATGCGAAGACTTATTTTGTTGATATAAAAATCCTCTACAGGGGCACCTGGGTGGCTCAGTCGTTAAGTGTCTGCCTTCGGCTCAGGTCATGATCCCAGGGTCCTGGGATCGAGCCCCGCGTCCCGCGCCCTGCTCCGCGGGAAGCCTGCTTCTCCCTTTCCCACTCCCCCTGCTTGTGTTCCCTCTCTTGCTGTGTCTCTCTCTGTCAAATAAATAAATAAAATCTTTAAAAAAAAAAAATCCTCTACAATCATCCTTATTTCTGTAACTTAAGAGATATTCATGTATCTACTTCCAGTAAAGTGAAACAAAATATCCTTGTTTCCAAATTGTGGTTTTGTGTCATTCCTATTTGAGTCTTTACTTAGCAAACCAACACCTCCCACTTCCTTTTTCCCCTAAGTGAAATATTTACTCTCTGATACACAAGAGAAAAACCTATTTGTAATGTGAAGTAGGTCATTTATTGAAATATAAATATGAGAAGTTGAATGGGGGAAAAAATTGCTTAAGGTAGCACTACTTAATTTTATACAGAAGGAGTAACTTGGTGCCAGGACATAAGTTAACATAAAGAACAGTAAGAAACCACACAAAGAATGCTCTCTTCATATTTAATATTTTAAAAAGCATGTTCACAGCACACTCCAAAAATGCCACACAGCAATGGTTTGCTGCTTTGTCAAACAGAGTATGTCAGAAAACAAAACAATTTTTAAATGGCTCATGGTTTTTAAAATTAGTTCTCTGAAATTTCTGTAAAGCCAATAATCACCAGTCATCTAAATCCTTGTTTCAGAGTAGTAAACATTTCAGAAATGTAACGAGTAGCTATCCAAAATCACATTTCTCTGAAATGCAGTTAAAAGCTATTGTTGTAACAGAAACAAAAATAAATATTTTTCTAGAAAGAACGTATTTGGCATTTTAAAATAATGTTAAAGAAGCTTTCAAGTGTAAATGATATTTAGATTGTTACTTTCCAGTAAGGAGGAATGATTACATTATCGTTAATGAACTTCAACCCTAATAAAGCCAATGTACTTTTCCACTATAGTGCTTGCTTTATTTAAGAACTGACATCCAGCCAGTACTAATTATGGAAGGAGGCCAGTAGTTCAAATTACTTGGTTAATTTGGTACCCAGGTTGTTTTATATATACTTTTCATGATGTGATTATTTAATATTTCTAATTAGCTTGCTCTATTTCTCTCAAAATCAATTATGTATATAGTTTGAATGAAATGTAAACTGAACTTTGTTTCACCGACTTCATTAAAATATGTCAAACATGGTTAATTATTATATTCTACCCTTCCAGATAATTTACATTTTCATTATAAATGCAAAGCAGCTGCACCATGAGTTCTCTCCTCTGCCCTTAGGTTCCACCACAGTGGCCTAACCACTTCATCTAAATGTAGAAAAACTGAAAGTTAAATTTAAAGGCTTTGAATAGTTAAGAAGTTCTTATACATTTTTCTCTTTCAGAGATCTGTGATGCCCTGTCTTGGATATGAGTATGGAAAAGCAAAATTCAGTTCATATTCATGATGTACCAATAACCTTCTATTTTTATCAGTCATTTTAAAACCAAATTTCCATTTATGTCACCTACTAAAGAGAAGAGATTTTCCTTTAGAATCATGGTCACAATCTGAAAAAAAACTAAAAAGGGCTAATTTTAGGCCAATAAAATATTTGAGGAAAGATGTAACACAAAACAGGGAGGTGAAAAAAAGCAAGTATATTGTAATAAAAGCCTTCCTTGTAAACACACCTGTCCTTTCCTCCCATGTTTGGAAATGTTACCTAAGCTTTAAAAATTCTCATCAAAACGTTTTATACCACGAATCCTGTAAAATCAGGTTGATTTCAGCTAGATAACCTATAGCTGTTAAAGAATTATATTATCCTGTTCATAAGATGAGAGGTAGTGACATTTTATTCTCCCAATGCTGAGCTACAAATTCCACACATCTGGCATATATATGGGTTACAAGGGGGAAAAAAAGCACAGAAGCACCATTTTACACTCCTTATGTTTTGGTATTTCAAGCCACCCATAACTTCATTTGCCATTGGCAGCTGACAATCACCACCTTGTGTTAACAACGAAAGCAGTGGGTGTTGGTGCTATTCATCATATAGGCCTGGCGGACCTCCATCATCTTTCAAAAATGAAGCAGCTTTCCTTCCATTCTTCTGAACATGATCTTCATTCATTTTCTCCAAAGCTTCTATCTACAAAATTAATGCATTGAATCCATTTGTCAAAATCTTACTTCACAAAAACCACACTTTAGATTGAACCAGCATTTTTACTCTCTTAAAACTAGGTCATTCCTAAGGACACTGGCCTTGAATAAGAATTACATTGTGTGACACACATTACATGTCTCACAGACCTGCATTACAGGGTGACACATACTACACGGTATGTTTTTTACTTGACTGTATTATCAAGGTCAACATTTAGTGTCTTTATCAATCTACCAACTAGGATCACATGTCTTACTGTGTACTCCATAAAGCTTTCAGGAAACAAGAAAAAGGAGATTCTAATGTTGGTTCAACAACAGTAGTAACACCTACTTACTGAGCAACTGTACTGTGCTAGAGGTCAGATTTACCATCTTCCTGTGACTTCTCCTCTGCCCTTAGGTTCCACCACAGCCTGGCCAAATTCAAATCATATTGCGGAGTTCTGGAACAGACTCTGTACATTCTCTGCTTTGGTATACTGTTGGAATAATTAGCTGCTATTTCACTTTTGGGTTTTTGTTCAATTTTAAGAGAACTTTTCTGTTGGAAGATTTTTTTTTTTATGGTTCTGCAGATCCATATTGTAATGACTAGGCCTTTCTAAGGATGACCACGGCCAACTTTCTCTAGTCAGTTAAAGGCAAGGACCACGTGCGACTGCTCTCTGTATCACCCGGAGTGTGCACCAGCCCACTCCCTCATTCATAAATAGAGGCGACAGGAGTACACTGGTAGTGGTGGTATTTGTCCATCTTAGCCAAACTGTGAATTCCTTGAAGCAGTGTTTTGCTGTAAGTCTATCCTAGGTTTTAAGTCTGGAAAGGACCAAAAACATCTCAAGGAAAGAAAAATCTCTACTTTTGCTTTTGAGGGGATAAAAGGATAAAATGAGGGGTGCCTGGGTGGCTCAGCTGGTTAAGCATCCAACTCTGGGTTTTAGCTCAGGTCATGATCTCAGAGTCATGGGACTGAGCCCCGCATCAGGCTGGATGTGGAGTCTGCTAGAGATTCTCTCTCTCCCTCTCCCTCTGCCTCACCCCACCACTTGCACTTTCTCTCTCTCTAAAAAAAATAAATATGTCCATCCATCCATCCATCCATCCATAAATAAATAAACAAACAAATAAATAAATAAAACAAAACCTTAAAAGACGAAGAAAATGAGCTCTGGGTTTCTGCTATCTACTCCGTCCAGCTCTCTATTAGCAAGGTGAAAAACAGGCACACAGAATTACCTCAGCTAAGAAATCAGCCTCATTATCTGCTGAAATGTTTAAGCCTGAAACAGCATTAAAGAGTTCTCGTTCACCAAGGGCTTCTTTTACTCCTCCTTTCTGGAAAAACTAGTAAAGAAATATAAGTCAGTAGAAGATATTATAGCAAGGTTCTCTTGAAAACAAAAAACAGAGAATAGTATATAAGATACCCTATATCTTGTAATATAGTATATATTATATATATGTATATGTACAATAGTATATAAGATATACCGTATCTTATGAGATACACCATATCTTATAAGATACCAGTGAATTCCTTCCATAATTTTTAAACCACAGATTTTCTCATTTCAAATTTAACTATGCTGCTCAGGTTCTACTTGCTATTTGTCCTCTTGAACACATCTGTGCTGCCTTCTGGATTTGTCACAATGCACCTTCTATAGCTATAAATGAGTGGCATATATAAAATTGGGTGGCACTGCTTTGAATGCGTAGACAAAATATTCACTAAATCCCGTGGATTACAATCTTTAAGTAGGTTCAGAAATTATTTCCAATACGAAGTTATTCGATCATTTAGAAAGACCATTCTTACCTGAATCTATTGCTAACAATTAATTTCCTTTAGAAATAGCAAATAAATGTGACACAACTCTGTGATTATTGAGTTTTACCTTCCCTAATCTGTTTACTCTACCTCACAGAAATCAGTGATCAGACACAGTACCACTAAGAAGACTATTCTCCTTTTAATGGTAATAACAATGGCAGTAAGCACGTAGGCTTGCTAATACCAGCTTCACTCGAAGCACTGTGCATGTTAAATGTCTACCTGGCTGCTTAAGTATCTGCAGTCAAAATAAAAACTCACTCCCTTGCAAATTAAATTCAATAGCCCAAATGTGAGGCAAGCAATCAAGTTATTGTTGAAAATGAAATCTGACAAATTGATCTCTGTATCTTTATCTCAAAAGCAGTTGATAACCTAACCCTTCCTTCAATTTCTAAGAATATGATCATCTTATTTTTCTTAGGGATGAGAAAAATATTTGAATCTGTTATATCCTATAAAAAAGATGTATTAGCTTACATGCCCACCTGTGAGACATTCCTACAGTCACGGAACAAGAACTCCAGGCCATGAGGATGGGTTGGTTCTACAGACTGACTGACGTCAATCAACCAGACCTATTTAAAGGCAGAGCATACGTTCAGTATACATTCAGTAATTTACATCAAGTCATTTTGTGTGAACATTAACAAAAAACGTGCTCCTCACCTTCCCGGCATGCCACAGCATGTTATACTCACTGAGGTCAGCATGGACAAGTGTACATTCATTATATAACTGCTGCATCAACTGTGAGGAGGCAAGGCAGACATTTAGGACATGAGCAACAATTCTAATTTACCTATGCAACTAAAATGTCTATGCCAACCAATACTTTCCAGAAAAAGCAAAACTAGGTTAAAGAACTTATTTCCTCTTTACTTTGTACAGTCTATACTTTGTACAGTCTAACACTGAGCTGTTTTTGTTTTTGTTTTTAGGTAGGGCAGGGGAACACTGAGACAATGAAGGGAATGAGTATGACACTTTATTTCCTTGTCTATGTGACAGCAATGAGGTCAGGAGACCAAATGGCAGACCTGGTTCCCCACAGAGTAAGAAAGCAGCCATATTATGATCACTAACCAGAAGATCTAAAAGCCACTTCCCTTCAATAAAAGTGGGTGAAAGATTTTTTTCACCTTTTTATATAAGGTAAGAAGTACTTCCTGCCAGACATAGTGGGGAAGAGGTAGTCTTACAAATTAAGTGGCATTATATATTCATTACTGATTTCTTATAGCAAAAATCAGCATTAATGTTTTATGTCTCAGCCTTAACAGAATCAAGTAGGAAAAGCCTATCACTACTTCATCTCTTTCCCAGTTACCCCACCACCCAATGAAGCCAGAAAAATGAACTTGATTTTCCTCTCAATGTTTTTTGGAAGCAGAGAAAGTTGGATTATCTCCCTAGCTCTGTCTTAAAAAATTATTTGGCAAACACTTCCATATTCACATATGCTGCTGCAGGACATGAATGCTTTATGCAGAGACCACGTAAAAAGCACAGAGGCTTCTTTGCTATTCAATCAAAACAACTACAGAGGCAGGGCGCCTGGCCAGCTCGCTTGGTAGAACGTGTGACCCTTGATCTTGGGCTCATGAGTTCAAGCCCCGTGTTGGGGGTACAGTTTACTTAACAAACAGAACAAAACAAAAACAAAACTAGAGAAGAATGACAGTTTTAGTAACATTTTCTTAAGCTGGAAGGATCTCAGATGGAATTCAGCTGCTGTCCCAAAGCATAAATGGCTTCAAGATTCCTGACGTGCTCTAAGACCACTCCCTCCCATCTTCCCCTTTTATCATCACTCTTTTTTTTTTTTTTTAAGATTTTATTTATTTATTTGAGAGAGAGAGAGAGAGCATGAAAGGGGGGAGGGTCGGAGGGAGAAGCAGACTCCCTGCCGAGCAGGGAGCCCCATGTGGGACTCGATCCCAGGACTCCAGGATCATGACCTGAGCCGAAGGCAGTCGCTCAACCAACTGAGCCACCCAGGCGCCCTATCATCACTCTTATAACGAGACTACATCTGCTCCCTGTCAACTTCCCAACGACAGGCATTTTCTTAGCTGTTAAGAGCTAGGACATTCAAGAAGGCATACAAACTAATGAGGCATGACATCTGTCTGCCAAATGTAGAAATGTCAACTTTTATTTAATAGATTGTTTTGTGAATAAGAGCTTTATGCTTCCATGTCACTAATGCTAACCAATGAGGCTTCATGAGCTCCTTAGCTCTGATTTTTCTTCAGTGATTCAAGACAGCAGCACATTGATTTAAGGACAATTCTTCAATGTTAATATTCCGTCACAAACTTCAGTTTGTCCTTGTTACATGAACATAAAATAGTATTATTTTAGGAAATTTTTTAAGGTTTAGACAAAATATTTTTTAGGTTGGTATATGAACGCTTTAAAAAGCACAACTTAGGGGCACCTGGGTGGCTCAGTCAGTTAAGCGTCTGCCTTCGGCTCAGGTCATGGTCTCAGGGTCCTGGGATCGAGCCCCGCATCGGGCTCCCTGCTCGGCGGGGAGTCTGCTTCTCCCTCTCCCTCTCCCCCTGCTTGTGTTCCCTCTCTCGCTGTATCTCTGTCAAATAAATAAAATCTTTAAAAATAAAAAAATAAAAAGCACAACTTACATGAACAGTTTGGTAGTAGGCTTCTTTCATTTCTTCACTACTAAGCTTTACTTCTTTTAATTTAGGGGCTGGAACTTGATCATGGCCAATAAAAGACATAACTAAAATGTGTTTCTTGAGTAGTACAACTGTTGGACAAGGAATTCCAGCTCTCTGCATTCTACACAGAAAGAAATAATTAAGAATGTAAAAATCAGAAGGAGAGAATATTTCACTTATTCAACAAATATCTAACAAGGGCCTGCAATGAGCTGGCACTATGTTCTGCCCAGGGGTTGGGGGAGGCAGAGACGGTAAAATCCAGCCTCTGCCCTTACAGAGCCATGGGCTGCTGGCAGGCACAGATAGATGAGGAGACAAGGATGGTGTCGTGTGGCACACGGTGTGGGTAGGAGCTACGGGAGCACGCAGCATCAAGGAAGCCTTAGTATAAGCAGTGGGTGAACAGGAATTAGCCAAATTAAGACAGTGTGGGGAATGCTGGTCTAGGGCTGGAAGCAGCTTGTGGAAATGCACAGAGGCATTCAACAGTGTCCATTTGGGGAATGTGTGTCAATCAACATAGCTGGATCTTGAGTCGGAAGAAGGGCAATGTGGGTTGAGGTTACAGAGACAGGTGGGCTCCACACCAGAGCAGGCCTTTGAACTTTACACTAAAGACTACAGAAACTGTTGGAGAATTTTAAGAAAGGCAGGGATGAGATCTCAAAGGTATAGAAGAGATTGAAGGGCAGCAAGACCTTTTAGAAAATTATTCTACTTACAAGTCTGACTATTTAGAAGAATTTTGCAACTAATAAATATGGATAATTACATTTGAAAGCAAACATCTTCAGAACAAATAAAAATTAAGCATTTAATAGATTAAGATATGGAAGGTTTATTGAGAAAGATTATTACTATATTACTTGGCTGATAAATTCCTTGATAAATTCTGCTTAGAGAATTGAGAACCAAGTCTAATAAAGCAAAATACAATTTGACTGGTCAGACTGCCTCCACCAAATTAACAACATTAGATGTAATAAACATTTTCTGAAACAAAAAAAAAATCATTATTTATAATAAGCCTAATTGAAAGCTGAACAATGACAGCATGTAGACATACACAAAATGTCTTAGGCAGAAAATGACTTTGCTTCCCTCAAACGTTACTGAAGAAAGAAAAAAGAAAATGACTTACTCATCCCAAAAGTATGAATTCAGGTTATACCAGGAAATATTTTCTTACAGAAAGCCTCATTAAACACTAGAATTTCGAGGCCTTCCATAATTTCCACAGATGAATTTAAAAGAAAGCATGGATTTTTTTGCCTGGCTAGTAGGCCTAATACAAAAAAGTAATTACCCTAGATAACTTCTAGCACAATGGTTTTCTTTACCTTGTGAGATTGTGCATTTCTTTTTCTGCCCACATGCGGATGATCTTACGTGGATTTAGTTTACTGAAGCGATCTTTAAACCTGAAATCATCTTTAATATATTTGTCACGATTCTTAAACTCATTAAGGGTTGTTTTAAATACCTTGATGGCACATTCTGTAGGTATAACTTTACTATCTTCCTTTTCATCCTCCATGCTACGTGGAAGGAAAAAAATTCAGTGTAAGTTGCCAGCTCATAAGTAAAACAATTTCAAAATAAAAATTCTATGATATAAAAGTAGATCTATCTTCTCTAAGAATGTCAAGCTTTGGTGGTTTTTTAAGCTTTTAAGTTTTGGGTCTTAATAAAACCTTAGGACTTGGTTTTTTATTTATTTATTTTTTAGGATTTGGCTTTTTAAATAAAACACTTTCAAATAAATTGTCAACCAGTTTTCAACAATCCATAATATAATCTTCACTTAATGACTATCAAATCAAACTTGAGGAACAATGAAGACATACAGGCTACAATTTACCTGGGATGGCTTATGGGCAAAATTCAGTAAAAGCAACAAAATAGAATAGCTTTTTAAGATGTCTCTTTCATTTCTAACAGATCAAAAGGTGAGTAAAGAGGTCCTTGCCCTATGGATATGCAAGGAGGGGCAGGAGAGAATAGAAGTACACGAATAGGACAGGTCCCTTTGGATTGGGAAGGCCGGACAAGGCTTCATGATATAGGTGGCAACTGAACCAGAACCATGGGTAGGCTATGAACAAGTACAGGCTCGGTATTAACAAAAGTAGAGTTGGAAACTACAGGACACATCTGAGGAATAAGAAACACTATAGTTGAGGCTTGGCTAGAAAGGGTAAATGAAAGAAATCAGAGCTGAGGGACAGGATGGAGGCAGATGTGGATGTATTCCTAAAGGTGGTAGGAATCATCAAGGGCTTGACAGACTTCACGAAGATCAAGTCAACGATAATATCAGGATAGAAGGGGGCAGAAGAGTCCAGAGGTGTGGAGCCTACTTAGGATGCTAATGTAATGTTCCCTCAATAGTGAGCCACTGAAAGGCCTGAAACATGGTGGTGGCAGTGTGAACAAGTATCTACCTTTAAATATGTGAAGGGATGTTAGTCTGGAAAAGAAAGGAACTCTATTTCCAGAAGATAGAATAGGACTCAAACTCCCAACCCCTTCCTTCTGTACCATATTTTCCCAGCTAATTCCTTTTCTGCCAGTTCATTTCAGGTTAGAGTAATCCAACCTATTCTCTTTCTGTCTTCTCTACCTGGGAAATTTCATTTAGCTCCAAGGCTTTATTTATTTACTTTTTTTAAAGAATTTATTTGAGAGAGAGAGATAGCCAGAAAGAACACGAGAAGGTGGGGAGAGGGAGAAGCAGGCTCCCTGCTGAGCAAGGAGTCCAAAGTGGGGCTAGTCCCACGGCTTTAAATATCTATATACCGGGGCGCCTGGGTGGCTCAGTCGGTTAAGCGTCTGCCTTTGGCTCAGGACATGATCCCAGGGTTCTGGTATCAAGCCCTGCATTGGGCTCCCTCCTCAAGTGGGGAGACTGCTTCTCCCTCTCCCTCTGCTGCTCCCCCCACCCCGACTCGTGCTCTCTCCAATAAATAAAATCTTAAAAAAAAAATCATCTATATACAGATAACACCTACATTTCTACCCTCAGTCTCAATTCTCCAGAACTTCAGGCCCATTTACCTAATCCCTACTTGACATCACTTGGATGTCCAGCAGGCATCTCAAACTTAACATGTCCAAAACAAAATTCTTATTAATTGCACCCTAAACCTGCCTTTTTTCACACTCTCATCTCAGTAAATGGCACCACCCAGCTGCTCTAGCCAAGAATGTATCCTCTTACACCCATCCAATCCAACAGCACACTGTTGATTCTTACCTTCAAAAAGCATCTCTATGGTCTCTTCTGTTCTTCATTTTCACTACACCTCTTTAGTCCAAACCACTGTTCACTCTTACTTAAACTACTACAATAACTTTTTAACTGGCCTTACTGCTTCTTCTCTTACGCCTCCTATAATTCATTTTTCACACAGCAGTCTTTGTAATCTTTCAAAACAAAAATCAAATCACAGCTTTGGTTCCCACTACAGTTAGAGCAGGCTCCTTACCCTGAAGGGCTAACAGAGTCCTACCTGGTCTAAGCTCTGCTTACTTCTCCAGCTCCTCTCTCCCCTTCACAACTGTGCTCCCAGCGTACTGGCTTTCTTATAGGCTCTCAGGGATACCAAGTTTGTGCCTGTCTTAAAGCATTAACACTAGCTGTTCTCTAGTCTAGAATGTTCTTCCACCTGATCTTTACACAGTACCCTGTACTGTGTCATTCAAATCTTAGTTTAAATGTCACTTTCTCAGAGAAGTTTTCCTGACCTACTAATAAAAAGTAGTGAACCAGTTGCTATGACATCACCATATTTTAACTACCATAACACATATCTGATGTTTTTTGCTTATTTATTACTGTCTTAGAAGGGGGTTGGGGTGGGGAGGAAGTACATTCTATGAGCTCAGGGATAAAGCACAAGTTACTATCCCAATAATGGTTGATTACTTGGCCAACCTGAAAGTGATAGAAACCAGACAGCTTTGTGGTGGGCAGAGTCCCAAGATGGCCCCTAAGATCCCAACCCTGGTGTACACACTCTGTACAGTTCCCTCCCCTCGAGTGCAGGGGGAGCAGACACTCTCGATTAGCTGATACTGTACGGCAAAGGTGATGGTATAGTCATTTCCAGGACTATGCTCCAATGTCTAAGACTCAGTCTTAGCAGACTGGAGGGAGAGATTCTCCTGCCAGCTTTGAAGAAGTGACCTGTTGTGTGAAAGGGCAGCATGACCAGCACCTGCAGGGCCCTCTAGAAGTTGAGAGCGGCACCCCACCAACAGCCAACAAGAAAGTAGAGACAGTCCTACAGTGGCAGTGAACTGAACCACAGGGAAGAGGACCCCAAGCTCCATAAGGAACGCAACCAAGCCGACACCCAGATGACAGCCGTGTGACCATGAGCCGAGAGCCAAGCTAAACCATGCCCGTTACAACTTCCGATCAACAGAAACTATGAAATAATAAGTGAGTGTTATTTTAAGCTGCTAAGTCTGTGGTAATTTGCTACATAGCATAGAAAACTAGCACACTTTTAAAAGCATTTACTTTTAGAAAGCTTGTAGAAAACCTAATGCTCTCTAGTTTTGCTAAATTACAAATGCCCAAGTACAGATTATAATACCAATTCCACCGAAAGAAAGAGAGATCATTCATTATATCAAAGTATCATTAAGCATAATGGGAAATAGACAAAGGATAAACAAAGCAGTTGACAAGACAAAGGAATAAAAATGGCCAATAAAGCACTTGGAAAAAATGTACAACCTTAATCACAAATAAATACACACCAAAATATCAAAATGGTACTTTTCATCTTTTACACTGACAAAAATATTAAGTTTGATAATACTAATAAGCATTAATGAGGATGAGGGAAACAGGTTCATACTGTTGCATAAATTAGTTAACCTTCTCACAGGGCAGTATGTCAGTATCTAAACATTTATAGAATGTACAACCAACTGTAGATCTGACTAGCTCCTAGGGAAATTGCATTTGCCCTACTATTAAAATTAAAAGATAAACACAAATTAAAGATTTCTGACCTTTGGTGTGACATGTAAGAATTTTTTGAAATTTTTAATAAATAAAAGCAAGACATGCTGCTTGCTACAAAAGCCAGCTGGTACTCTCCATTCATTGAGGCCTTCCACTATTCAACAAAAAGGAAAAAGAGTGCAAACAGTCTGTGCCCCAGTAATTTCAAAGCTAGAATTCAGTTTAAGGATATATTTGCAAAAGCACACCAAAGTAGATGTACAAGGATACTCCTATCTGTGTACTCTACTATGTAATTATCTTTTATCAACCATAACAGTTATTGCTATAATGTTCTCCTCCTGGCTATGCCGTAAGTCCATTAACATAATGGGATGTGCTACTATAAAAATGGGATGCTATAAGCTTGGAAAGATCTATTAACTGAAAAACTAAGATCCCGAAAAGAGAGTATAATCTCTTTTGTATAAACAAATTTAGGGGTATGTGCATAAAAATTCCTGGGAGACTAAACTAAAAACTGTTAACAGTGGTTATCTTTGAAGAAAAGATCTGTGAGATGAGAGCTGATAAGATGATGGCTACTTTCCATTTTAATCCTTTCTATAGAGTTTTAATTTCTACCATGAGTAATCTCTCATTTTAATTTGTGCCATTGAGTTATATCTGCCTGGTCTTAGGGAACCCTTAAAGGAAATTTAGGAAGAGGGCAACAAAGCTTAAAGTAAGGAAAAAATAAATATTTATTAAGATTTCCTTATACCAGTCATTATCAAATATGATCTCATTTATCACCACAAAATCCTATGAGGTAATAAGGGTCAGTTTTTTAAAAAGGTTTAGTAAATTGCTCCAGATCACATAGCTTGAAAAATGTTGAGCTATTTTATCCTAACATTCATTTTTATCCTTTTCATTTTGAAACTTAACAGTATAATTCGATATATGATTACACACGTATGTCTCATACAGAAAGGGAGACTAGTGGGGTGCCTGGGTGGGGCTCAGTCGTTAAGTGTCTGCCTTCAGCATGATCCCAGGGTCCTGGGATTGAGCCCCGCATTGGGTTCCCTGCTCCGCAGGAGGCCTGCTTCTCCCTCTCCCACTCCCCCTGCTTGTGTTCCCTCTCTCACTGTGTCTCTGTCAAATAAGTAAAATCTTTAGGAAAAAAAAAAAGGAAAGAAAGAAAGAAAAGAAAGGGAGACTAGTTAAATAGTTGAGAAAACCAAAGGCAAAAAAAAAAAAAAAAAACCAAAGGCAAGGACTAACTAATAATTGTTTGAATCCCCTAAGTACACAGTAAATATCTTCTGAACCTAAAAAGAGCTAAAATAATTCTGGAATCTATTTTAACATTTTTGTCTGTAAACATTACTGAGGCAAAGGAATCTCTGAGGTAGTAACCAACCTTGCTGGTTGACCTCAATAGTAAGTGACCAGATGATTTCACATTCCTGGCTTAAGCACGTTCTCTAAACAGGCTCCACTTTAAAAAATGTCTCCCTTCCTCATGCCATTCTTTACTCATCTAAGCCCTTTTAACAAAAGTGAAGCAGGTAAGATCTAAATAGCATAAGATCTTTACAAGATGTTTCCTTATGATGCAAGCATTATTTAGTTGGTATTTCTTAAAGAATCAGAGTTATAAGGGCAAGAATCAGTAACTGATCTAAGCATATCCCCCTCAACCTGGTGCTGAAGGACCCCATAGTTTAAAGACCATGGGTTTTGAGACAAACCCAACTGCAAATTTTGCTCTGTCACTTACAGCAGCCTGTATGATACAGTATTACAATAACGTAGAAAATAATATATGCATAGAAAAAAAGACTGAAGGAGTCTACACAAATTGATTAATGGTTATCTCTAGGTGGCGGGATTAGGATGATTGTTTTTCTTTATATGTCCTTATATTGTCTAGACTTTCTAGACACTTTTTAAATTACTCTGCTTGCCAGGTAGCGCTGATTTTGCATAAATCCATTTATATAGGGAGAAGGGGTTAAGATTTTATTGACACAATGGTACTGCATTTGTTCATTTACCTCCCGCCATATGCATGAAAGACAACAGATTCCTTTCCTGTACTAATACAGCCAGTGATTGTCTCCAGCATTCCAGAGTTGATCATTTTATACATAAGTAAACGTGTCTTAGGATCAACTGCTTTTTCCTGAAAAAGATAAAGCACTATAAATGAAAATGACTGATTAATAACAAAACATTTTTTGAGCCATTTCTAGTATCTAGTATATTCAAAATATATGCTTCTTTTTACCTTTATGACTTAATTTACCTAGATGTATATATAACAGGCTCTTAAAAAAGAGTGCTGTCAAAATACATTTCATTTCCATAACTAACTCCAATGCCTATGAAAGTGAATAGCTAAAAGAACTATTAAAAATCAGACTCTCGCTTAGTCAAAATCTTATTTTATCTTCAAAGTTGAAATAGCTCTGCTAGTGTAGTTACTATTCGTTTTTTTCTAAAGTTTTAAAAATTACTTTATTTTTTTAAGATATTAGATACTATCTTCACTAACGTAAGACATTAGAAATTAAATTATAAATGTCACAGTGTAACAAGAAACGATTTTTTAAAATCTCAAAACATTCATATTCTAATTAATTATGACCACTAAAATGTCAGTTTTGACATGAAGTTTAGTTTTGTTTCTTCCCCAAATATGAAGTTTTCTAATATGAACTTTCCATCAAAGAAAAAAATATAAGAATACTAACTGCAGTAGAATGCTCTTTTTTCTCATGGAGGCGGGCACTTCGACGTTCTTCTGAGTAGGCATGTTGTTTTAAAGCATTGAAAACATGGTTTGATAGTTTTAAATCCATTCCAATTCCATCTCCTACCTGAAACTCAGGTGCAAACTGCCAAAAAGAAGAAAACAATTAACATCTGAGTACTTTAAAATAGGGATGGTAATAACAAAAAAACAAGATGAGTCTTTACTTGGAATAGGTTTCTTATTCAGTCGATGATTAGGCTACAAAAGCAGAACCCATAGGTATTACAGGGAGAAAAAAATAAAATAACTCACTAAAAACCCAACAGAAAGAAGAGGAAGGCTATTTAAGGAAAGCACAGACAATACTGAATCACATCTAAAAACTAAGGTATTTCAGCATATGCTCTGCACCTTGCTTTTACATTAGACAAAGGACACACTATATTTTTAAGGCTACCCCAAATCTTACCAAAGAAATACAAACTTGTAACTAATTATTTTCAAGGAGTGGGTTAATATAGCAAGCTATGCCCACACCATGACAATTATGTTCTAGAGATTACTGCCCAACATGGTAGCCACTAGCCACATGTAGGTATTTAAAGTTAAATAAATTAAAATTAAATTAAAAATTCAGCTCCTTGGTTGCATCACTCAAATTTCAAGTGCTCAATTGCCCCAAATACGGTTACTATTAGTTAATACGGATATAGAACATTTCTATTATCACACAAAGCTCTACTGGAGAGGGTTGTTCTAGAGTCAGATCTGGACTATTTCTAGAATTTAATAATAAGTTTACGGGGCGCCTGGCTGGCTCAGTCAGTGGAGCACGTGACTCTTGATTGCGGGGTCATGAGCTCGAGCCCCACACTGGGTGCAGAGATTACTTTAAAAAATAAAGCATTGGGACACCTGGGTGGCTCAGTCGGTTAAGAGTCTGCCTTCAGTTCAGGTCATGATCCCAGAGTCCTGGGGTCGAGTCCTGCATCAGGCTCCTTGTTCAGTGGGGAGCCTGCTTCTCCCTCTGCCTTCTGATCCCCCTGCTTGTGCTCTCTCTCTCTCTGACAAATAAATAAAATCTAAAATAAATAAATAAGGCATTAAAAAAATTATAAATAAATAAGTTTACTTCAGTATTTGTGTTCTGAAGTCTAAATGTTTTCTATTAACCACAAGATTCATAAAGGAGGAAAAATGCTAATTTTTCTTTTTAAAATTTTTTTTAATTACATTTTATTTCTGATTTTGCAGGGGTAGTTGAGGCATAAGATTAAAAAATTCAACAAATATAAAAGGGTATTTCTCTCTCCCATCCCTGTCCCTCAATCATCACTGGTCTCTGTTTCTTGGGTAGGGGTGCTATTGGAAAATAATATGCTGAAAAATAAATATGCTACTTTCATAAGAACTATTTCTTAATTTTAGAATCCATGCAAATCAAACCAGTTTTCTTAATATTGTTATAGAATTTTATTCTGAGGTACATTCTCATTAGTGGCTCAGTTTTCATGGTATTGCTATATTATCATCTACAACATCTTTAGATCGTCCTTATGAAGTATATTTTTAGAAATTTAAGATACTGTATTTTTTTAATTAGTTGATTAATTTAAAAAAATTTTTATAGAAGTACAGTTGAAAACATATCGTATTTAGAATCCCATGTTTTTAACATACCAATAAAACTCTTGATTCAGCGATAATACTTCCTGTAACTTACATTTTCCATTCTGGCTGTATTCTTTCTCCCACATACTACTTCATCATGTTTGGTGGTGATGTCTTTTCCTTTTCCAATAAAACCCTTTTTGGGAGTAGGAACTGGTTTTGCTAAAGGCGATTAAGACAAGCCAAGTTTATGTAAAAGTAGCAAAGACTAAATTGTTGCATTCAATATTGTCTGAAAAGATATTTGAATCTGACAATAACTTACCAAGTGAGATTCAAAGATAAATATAAAATATAAGGATCCATTGGAAAACTTAGTCTTCCTCTGTCCCTGTCCTACCCCAACCCCCAGAAAATAAAAGTATTGATACCTGGTATGTAGGGATCATCACGAGTGTCTTGCCAGTCAACCTCATCCTCAGAGCTATCACTGTCTTCATAAGGATGCAATTTTCGATAATTTTCAAAGGAAATGGAAACTTAAAAGACAAAAATAGGTGAAGATTTACTTAGGAGCACGGTACAAGCATTTTCTGCCACCCAATGGAGGTGTCATAATAAGGTCACAGTACCTTTGCTATCTCCATTGAATTTTTTTTCTTCACGCCTAAGCTGTGCATCATATTCTCTGTCAAATTCCATCTGTAGCATCTGAGCCAGCATTAGGTCGCTGGAAGTGTCAATGTTTTCTCCAGTAATAAATGGTCCTTCAGTGACACTATTCAAAATAAGGCAACATAAACTAAAATAATGTGCTTGCATAAACAGATGCTACCTATCATGATAGAAGAGTGCCTTTTCACTGTTACAAATTGTACTGAAGCAGCAATGGGAAAAACTTGATCACATCATTTACCTTCTGTCCAGCTGCCCTCTGACCAATGTTAGGCACTTGTGAGAGCACCAACTAGGATTAAGAGAGCTGCAAGAGAAAGCTAAAGGGGCTACAATAAAATCTAAACCGAGACTCAAACCTCATTTGTTCTGTGTTCTGGAGAAAGAACATGGATGAAAAGATAAAATACAAGCATTTGATCAAAACTGTATCCTACTTCACTATCTGCTAATTTGGAGATCATGTGGCTCAACTGCTATAACAACTAAAACCCAGAGAAACAGAGTGGTTTGCCCAAGAAAGTATTGACAACTAATCACAGAATCAGGATCAAAACTCAAATATCGGTGAACTCCCAGTATGGTACTCTTTCTACCACATTGCTTTTCAAAATGTGTTTCTTAATCATTGGCCAGGACAATCACTAATCAAATCCTAAAACTTTAATAAAAAGCTGCTAGACAATATAGATTCTTTACAAATTTTACTTACGCCACTTCAGGAAAAGCGGCAGCTTCTTCTTCTAACTGCAATTCTTTAGCCAGCTGTTCACTCATTACGTCAGCCAAGGAACAAGATATTGTATTTTGAGTGGTAGCCCATGGACACTATTTAAAGAAAAGGGAGGGGTTAATTTATAATCATGAAATTAAAGTACCTTCCAAACTTGAAAATAGGATTATCTTTTGAGAATTAAAAAAAATCAACCCAAAATAAATAATTACCTACTTAGAGAAATCATCTAAAAAGTAAAAATAATGGGGCGCCTGGGTAGCTCAGTCAGTTAAGCATCTGACTCTGGATTTTGGCTCGAATTGTGATCTCAGGGTCGTGGGATTGAGTCCCACATCAGGCTCTATGCCGAGCAGGGGAGTCTGCTTGAGATTTCTCTCCCTTTCCCTCTGCCCACCTCCCCCCGCCCCGGTTCACAGGGGTGCTCTCTCTCTCAAATAAATAAAACAAATCTCTAAAAAAGTAAAAATATCTCCCAGCTCAAATCTAATCAAAGATATATGTAAAAAAAAGATATATGTAAACTAGATCTGTCAAAAGCACTTTCTAACCTGTTTGGTAGGTGTGTCCTTTTAGTTGAGGAGGAACATCAGGCTCCTGCATATATAGCATCACCCCACTACCTGATGAGTTCATGCAACTACCCTGTTCTGATGCCATGCTCACAAAATAATCTGCTTTTAATCTGGCTTCCCATGTAGACTGTCTGTCTCCCTCTCTTTTTTTTTTTTTTTCCAAATATTTTAAGTAATCTCTATACCCAAGATGGCACTGGAACTCACAACACTGAGACCAAGAGTTGCATGCTCTACCAACTGAGCCAGCAAATGCCCCTGTAGATTCTCTTTTAGGACAGACTACACCAACTAGCACAATTCAAAACCCACTTAGAAGTTAGACCTCATTCTAATTTAAGGAGTAAATCTTCTACATGTGTAAAGTGTATGTCAGCCCCTCTCAAGACATCTGGGATATGTTAAAACAAAAATAACAATGACAAACAATAAAAACTACATTTCTGAACTTTAGAAGCTGAGAAACAGTCTTGAAACAATGCCACTACAACAAAGCAATATTCTGTGAGATTCTTCTTGGACGATCAGCCAGTTAGCCTTCCTCAATGACATCACTATCTCAGCCCTTTTGAAATACAAACCGTTAAGTTTATTTCACAATTCCTAATTTTTGAGGGGGCAAGCTTTACTTAGCAGCAGCAAATGATTACATTTGATAGTCTAGTGATTAAGACCACTAATATTGAATAATATGTCTAAATCTCTCTTGAACTGACCCAGCTTTCTCTATCTCCCTTCTGAGATTCTACTCCAAGGTATCACCCTCCCATCACCAGGCTACTCTAATAAGAGAGTCCTAACTAATCTTTCTGTTTCCAGTCCTGCTTGTTTCCATTTTTCACACCATAGCACAACGGCTTTTCTAAAATGCAGATTTGATTAGTTCGGTTTCCTTACTTACAGCTCTTGATTGTTTTAAGGTTTTCCACTGCCTTTAGGATAAAGTCCAAACTCATTCCTTAACTACTGCTGAGTGTCTAATTTAGAATTTAGAATATAGCATATGATGATATCTATTTTAGCCAAAAACTTATAAGTCAAGTTTAGGTCCTCTAGCTGGCCTACCACCCTTGCTCAGGTTCCATAGCACTGAGGCTCAGGAATTTACTCAGTTCAGGTTGTTAGGATGAAGCTCTTAAGGGTGTTAAATGATAACTGTACTTATGCCTAAGTGAATCAGAATCAAGTTTTATCTAGTCTCATCCTGAGATTAATGAGATGCACCCAGCACAAACCTATACTAGCCTACTGCACAATTATTCCAGCCTCACATAAACCCAGATGTGGAGAAAACAAGGAAGGTTTTCTCAAGGTCTGGTGTGACTTTCATTCACTCAGATCTTCAAGTGCAATCGAGTACTCTCCTGGTGAGGCTTTTGAGGTCTAGAATCTTGAAGTTCTCTGTAATCTGGAGAATATAGCTATCTCTTGGCCAATGACTCCTGCTGACTTCCTTCTGAATCCTCTAGGTAGAATACATAATGCTGCCCCCTCGCCTAGAAATGTCTGGTCTGATCAGTTTCAAAGTCCAGGCTCCAAAAGGCAAATGGCTGTATTCTCTAACTCAGATCTGTCAACCACATTTTGCAATGACAATAGAATAACAGACAACACTAGAATATTCACTATATTTGAATCACTTGCCTAATATACATAATTTGCATAATTATTTGAGACCCACAACCACTGTGTGGTTACCATATCATCCCCACTTTATAGACTTAGAAACTGAAACACAGAAAGGTTTTTTAACTCAAGATAACACTTTAGATTTGAACCAAGACAGTAGAACTTAAGGGGCTGCCCTCAGCATTTTGCTATACTGCATCCCTAATCACCTTGTCCTGGAACGTGAGAAGCAAACGTCTATACCGCCTGCACTATGAAATCCAAATTCCTCAACAATGAATGCCTTTCACAATTTGACCTACTTTATCTTTCCAGTCTCACCCCTTCCGTACCCTATGCTCTAATAACAAAAATTGTATGCTGATAGTGGCATACTTTCACCCCCACATGCCTTCACACATGCTCTTCTCTCAGTGGATTTTCTTCCTCCTCTATTTCCTCCAATTAAGTAAGCATCACCAACTCCATAAGGCTCTCTCAATTTCATCAGATGAAATCAGATCCTTGCCTTTGTGCTCCCATACCACTGTGCAAATACATTTAAGTGCAGGACCAGTGACTGTATTAGAGTTAATGTATCAGCCACAATACAACATAAGCCCCTTGAAGGGCAGGGTCTTCTCATTCTCAGAGCCCAGCATAGAGCTTCAGATGTAAAGAGGCACTCAAGTATTCACTGAATAACATGTGCCAAAAAGAAACACTGGAAATATTTCACGGAACTGCCAGGCTGTCCCCAAGCTGCAGAGATCTGATGCCTTTCTACACCCCTACTATTCGAACATCCCCTTCTCCATCTTGAAGTTGGCCCCTTTGGCCAGCCACTTCTGGTGCTTCTAGTTGTTTGCCAGCAGTCAATTAATTTTACGAAGATGTTAAATAAAGTATTAGCTGACAATTTCTCAGAAGAGGCAAAATTGACAAGCGGGGACTATTATTTTGAGGCAGAGACTGACCTAAATCCAAGATAGACTGAACCAGAAAGGGAAACACATAGAGACCACCAGAGAGCACCAAGATATCCGAATCACCCGCTCCTACTGATCTTGCTCCTTGGAGCCTTGTACTCTAGAGCTGTACTTCCCCTCCTTTTACCTCTGCTGACCAGCTCAGCTGGGCAGACTCACACCGGGACAACTTGCACGGGTAAAGGTAAATAAGGTAACAAAGGCTGCCAACTTCCACACTCTTAAGTCAAATACAAATTCCTCAAACCAGCAGTCAAAAACCCTCCATAAAAATTTTTAGGCTGTATGAGAGACAGCTGCCAGACAGGGAGCAATCCGCCACGGGCACGAGGGGTTCACCATTTCAAGGGGCCTCAGAAAATTTATTGGGCGCTCCTCCTATGAATGGGCACCAGAGGATATATATAAAGGAATCATCTGTCATCATCTTGTAACTCCTCAATAAATCAAAAACACTCTTTGTGAATAGAGAAACTTTATTAAATGTTAAAAATAATAATAAATTTGAGGAGATAAAGAAAAAAAGCCCTCCATAATCTTGCTCTGCCTTCACTATCTAATGTCACTTCCCACTATTCCCTTCATCAGCATAAACTCCCCACAGCATCAAGATCTGATGGGAAACCCCACACAATCATTCCCAGTTAGTTATTCTGTTTTAAATGACATCTATCAAGCCCATAACCAGCTCCCTGATTGTTTCATTCCTGTTTGCTTAAGACCTCTGAGACCTGACCTGTTTTCCTCTCCTCTGGAAAACCCACCACTGAACTCTGGTCCTTGGAGTTCTTTACTACTACCACGGTCTTCAACACCAGGGTGGCTGCAGATTAGAGGGAAATTATCTCCCTTTCCTTACATCTCCTAAAGATGCACACCTAGCTACTCATCCTGCAGACAACTGTGGGGAAGAATCAAGTAAATAAAAAACAGTAAATATGAAGGAGGCACATAACAAAAATTCAGTCCTCAACTTGAAGCAAGTCAAGAGAATCATAACCCACAGGAAGGTCTCTTTTCTGTCCATGCAACTAAAAGATATAATTTGGGTAGAATATTTAAGTGGGTAATTTTACTTCTCAAGACAAGGGTCTCGGGAAAACATCACTTGGGTCTATACAACACTAATCTTTTTTTTTTTTTTTTAACTTTTAATGTTAGAGTAGTTTTAGAATTATAGAAAAATTGCAAAGATAGCAGAGTTCCCAAATATCCCATACTCAGTTTCCCCTGTGGTGGCATTGTACATTTGCCATTAATTAATTAACCAATATTTGTATATTATTATTAACTAAAGTCCATACTTTATTCAGATTTCCTCAGTTTTTCTGTAATGTCCTTTCCCTACTTCTGGATTGTATCTATCCAGCATACCATATAACATTTAGTCATCATGCCACTTTAGGCCCCTTTTGGCTGTGAGTTTCTCAGACTTTGTTTTTGATGACCCTGACAGTTCTGAGGAGTACCATGAATTCATTTTTTACAGTTCTCTTTCCAACAGAGCTACACATTTCCTCACTTCTGCCTACAGTTTGCCAATCCTCCATTCTTGGAATAGCCACTAAAATTCTTTGTCCATAATGGCAGTTTGGCATTTTATAACTGGCACCCCATGACCCTGGGGGAGGGGTCCCCAAAACCCTTTCAGGCTGTCTGTGAGATCAAAATTATTTTGTACTAAGACATTCTCTGTCTTTCCCAGTCTTATTCTCTCAAGACTGCACAGTGGAGTTTTCCAGTCTGCAGCAGATCTGATAACAGCACTCTGATGGCTTGTGAAATATGTACTTGAATATTCTCGCATTTTCCAAAAATTTCTAAGGTAGTAAGTTTAGGATATAAATGTGCATTTTTTTTTTTTAAAGATTTTATTTATTTATTTGAGACAGAGAGAATGAGAGAGAGAGAGCACATGAGAGAGGGGAGGGTCAGAGGGAGAAGCAGACTCCCTGCCGAGCAGGAAGCCCGATGCGGGACTCGATCCAGGGACTCCAGGATCATGACCTGAGCCGAAAGCAGTCGCTTAACCAACTGAGCCACCCAGGCGCCCTAAATGTGCATTTTTAAACATTAGTTCAGTTTGTTCTCAGTACATCTACTATGCTTTTATTAGCCATCTTTGATTATATCGGCTATAATCTATGCATCTATGAGGATGGATTTTCTTCATATATTTCAAATAAAACATCCCACAACAGACTAAAAAAGGTCTTCTATTAAATCAGACATTAGGGGCACCTGGGTGGCTCAGTCGGTTAAGCGTTTGCCTTTGGCTCAGGTCATGATCCTGGGGTCCTGGGATGGAGCCCTGAGCCTGCTTCTCCCTCCCTCTCTGTCCCTCCCCAGCTCATGCTCACTATCGCTCTCTCTCTAGTCTCTCTAAAAAAAAATAAATAAAATCTTTTTAAAAAATCAGACATTAAAGAGATTTGCAAAAATACAAAACAATACTACACCAGTAATTTTTTTTTGTTTTGGAAAATGGGGGGGTTACATATAAAAATGTTATTTATATTAACACATGACTTTTAAATCACTTAATAAAAATTTTTCAATATCTCAGTTTTAATTTCTGATATGATAATTATCAACAGATGTAACCAATATAAATAATTTGGGGTCCTCAATGATTTTTTTAGAGTATAAATTAGTCCTGACCAAAAAGTTTTGAGAATCGCTTGTCTTTGACATTCTTTACATTTTTCAAGACCTTCCTCAAATCTCCACCTCATCCACGAAGCCTTTGATAATCAGGTCTTCCAAGAGGTTAGAGGAGGAAAGGATTAAGAGATACTTGTCGCATCTAACTGTTTGGGCTGTGAAAATGCTGTCTTCCTAGTAGAATATCAATAAACCCCAGTATTATTTTTTTGTTGAATGATGAAAATGAAATTTTGTATTTCTGATGATGCATACTTAAATGAAAATATGACTGATAACAAATATTTTATTACTGAATTAGCTTTGTAAGTGAAATTTGTTCTGACATTAGGTATCCTGACCAATGTTTGTCTCACTTGACATTTTTATCAGCCTTTGGGTGCTTAACTGAAGGAATTTAACATGTAAAGCATACATTTATTAGTATCTGGCTACTGATTTTGTCTTTTTATGTCTACTGATATTGGCCTTGTAAACAAGGCTTAATAGATGAAATAACACAAAATAACATGTAGATGTAACCACATTTGCCAAAGGATTATCTTAAATTCTCCCTACAGTTGTATGAGAACGTTCATAAAATTAACTTTAATTAAACTTTCATAAATTCCTTTTAATAGCCAATTATTTCTCTTTTCTCTGTTAAGGCCTAGCCTAAAGATCTAATAAAATGAGGGACCCTTTAAACGGAACAGATATTCCGTGACAGCATGTGAAAAACACTTAGGAAGCTATAAAAGTTGGATCCTTTCCAACCTTAATTTGAGGAACACAACATCCCAACTGAAGCACTCTTGCTTTCAAGCAAACCCTCAATACAGCGGCAGAGGAGTCTTTTCATCCTTCTGATGAAAGTATCATGCAAAGGAGCAGTCTGAAAACCAGAAACCAAATGTGAAATAGACCTAACAGTTGGTCGTTAACAGGAAAAAGCTTCAACATTAAAGCCCAAGCAGATGAGAATTCATAACCGTTTTTTACAGTGTGTAGTGTACGCCCGAGTATTAGCCTGGGGGAGGGAGGTGCGCCTGGACTTACCTTTTACTCCTTCAAAAACAAGAAACGGTCTCAGCCGGATAACCGCATGTGTCAAGTTAAGGAAACAGCTGCCCAAATGACCTTTCCGTCGGGCTTTTTGTATGTTATTCGGCTGACTCACTTGGCCCGTGAAAAACAAGATCGTGCTTGATATTCCTCAAACGTCAGAGTCTCTAAGCCAGCCCTGCCCAAATATCTGCCACGGAGGTTCAGAAATCAAGGCGCAGAATAGCCAGAGAGCCCAAACCGCCGAGAGTGGCCACTGGCAGCCGCGGCCGCCCTCCCCACCTCTCCCATCCCACCCCGGCAGCCCCGCCACCCGTCCCCACCTCCCGAGGTTGCCAGAGTCCCGCTCAGAACTTCCCGAGTCGCCTGCGGAGCCGCCTCGGTGCCTGCCACCTTCTCCGGGCCTCCCGGGTGACCACGGCAGGTGCGTCAGCTCCGACCGCCACTCACCTTGCTGGGTCCCCAGGGTGCTGCGGGCCCGGGCTCAGGCGCTGCCACTCCGACCAGATCCATGTTGGAAAAGAAGCCAGCGACGAGAACAAGGCAGACAGGTGGCAGGACCGGGAAGCAGCCTCCGCCGAGAAAATAGGCGGCGGTCCTGGGGCGACGGGCTGCTGGTGCCGGAGCTGAGGTGACAGATGGCGGCGCGGCCGCGTCCGGAACTACATCTCTTCTCTTCCGCCCGCTCCGCTGGGACCGTCGCTTCTGATAGGCCGCCCGCCGGGGCCTCCGGGTTTTGCCTCCTTTCCCCGCCCCCGGCGGCCCGCACTTCCGGCCGCTGCCCGGGGATGGGGCTGCCCGCGCTGCTGGCTCTGACTAGTGGTCGTGGTCGCCCGTGCGGGACGGAGCAGGCGTCGGGTGTGGCTTCCTCTGGCCAGGCTGTACCCTGTTGCCGCACCGCCTTCCCCTTCCTTCCCCACCTGGGGACCCGAGACACCATCTGGATCTAGTTAAACTGAATTAAGCTGCGTGTTAGTCAGTTCATAACACCAAACAAACGAGGCTGCTTCTGTTCACTACTTTCTGGGTTAATTCTGAACTCGGAGGGTGTGGGGGACAGAAAATAGCTGATGTGGAGAGGTCGGATTTTGTTGTTACTGCAGTTTGTCGTCAGGAAGCGGGGCATAAAAAGTGAAAATTTATAAAATGTGTTATAAAACACTGAGCAAAAATAGGACTGCTAATAAAAGTTTTGATTAGATGTTTTGTAGATTCTGGTAAAGTGACCAGGTAAAAATAGCCAAGCATTATATTTCACTTACTATATTCATGCATTGTCCAAAGTACTGTATTAACTCTCAGTCCTCAAAATGATCATGAGAGGTGCATTCTATTTCTAGCATGATCTCGATTTTACTGATACTGGAATGTAGGCACAACAGAGCTGAAGTAACATGCTGGAGGTCATAGAGCTAATGAGTGTCAAGGCTAAGGAGTGGTGAACCCGGGCATCCTGGGCTAGGGGACTGGCTCTACATGTGTACATATTGACTTTTCAGACATTCTAGAAATAAACACTGAATAACGACGTTCTCCTTAAATTGCAGTTCTGAGCCAGGATCCCTAATTGTCTATGCTTGAGATCCCTAGGATACCCACCTTGATGGTTTCCCTTAGCACACAATTTTTGTTACTCCAGGTCAGAACATGTTCTGAATCTTCCAAAAACCCCAAATTAAAATAAGGCAAAATTATAACTATATGTTAGGATACAGACCTATGCTTGGCAAATGTTGCACATTTATGTGAATGTGTGTGGAAATCACATTCCCTCTTAAGGTTCAAAGGATTATAATTGGGGTATAGATAGTTGAGGGAAAATGGATGTAACCAGAAATTAAATGGATCTCTCAATTCAGGATAAGAAAGAAACAGGAGAGAGAATCAACCAAGAGAAGTTATTGGAGTTCCTATTAAATTAGCCAAGAATTTCTAGGGGAGCCTGGGTGGCTCAGTCAGTCAATCGACTGCCTTCGGCTCAGCTCATGGTCTCAGGGTCCTGGAATCGAGCCCGGCATCAGGCTCCCTCCTCAGCCGGAAGCCTGCTTCTCCCTTTCCCACTCCCCCTGCTTGTGTTCCCTCTCTCACTGTCTCTCTCTGTCAAATAAATAGAAAATCTTTTAAAAAAAAAAAAATTAGCCAAGAATTTCTAAAGAAAAAGATGAAAGGGAAGAGAGCATATCAGAAAGAAAGGCTGAGGCACAGTGCATGACAAAAATGTGCCAGTGAGGGGTGCCTGGGTGGCTCAGTCGTTAAGCGTCTGCCTTCGGGTCAGGTCTTGATCCCAGGGTCCTGGGGTGGAGCCCCGCATCGGGCTCCCCGCTCACCTGGAAGCCTGATTCTCCCTCTCCCACTCCCCCTGCTTGTGCTCCCTCTCTCGCTGTGTCTCTCTCTGTGAAATAAATAAAAATCTTTATAAAAAAAAAAATGTGCCAGTGAGGGGCCTACTGGGGGATGTATAAGAAAAGGACAGGAAGTCAAAAGTAGAACTAAGAATCTGGATATTTGTTTTAGATCATTTTATTCAACACATTTTTACTGAGTGCTCTCTTTAGTACCCAACATTGATGTGACAAATATGAATAAAAATAGGTGCGCATCCTTATGGACCTTGAAGTCATAAACACAGTACAATTAAGTTAAAGATGCTATGATAAAAGTATACACAGGGATGACGTAAAGGGAAGAGGTCAGATCTACTTAGATGTTCAGGAATGATTTCTTAGAGTTGATGACACTGAACTCAGTCTTGAAAGATAAGCAGGCATCACTAAGATAGCCTGTAGGGCAAGTGGCGGCTTCCACAGAAGGGAAGGAGGAACTGTATACAACAAGCATTGGAAAAGGGCAAGTGGTTTGACATAGACTGAACCCAGAGTTCAAAAGGGACAAAGTAAAATATTGGGTTGGAGAATGCAGGGAAGGGCCAGGTCTAAGAGATTTTAATGCTAAGAACTTCAGAGTTTAGACAATAGTCATTAAAAGATTTTAAATGGGAAGAATAATGTTTTTAGATTTGCTTACTAGGAAGATAATTCTGACTGCTGTCTGATGGGTGTACTGGGGAGAGGTGAGGCTGGAGACTGGAAAGCCTGCCAGGCAATTAATGACGAGGGTTGCCTGGACTTCCACTGACACATTCTTTAAATGTGTTTATATTTTGAGACTAATTTCAAGTCTCAGAAATTTCTTTTATTTCTATAAGACAACTTTGATATCCCAACTCTTATCTCATTTCTCTTATTTCCAAGATTTTATTTTTGGGTTTTGGTGCCTGATGTTTGTAGTTACCGAGTAGGGGTAGTAGTGGAATGGGAGGTAAGGCATCTCAATGAAGTTCAAAGAGCTGAAATAACTTCTGATTTTTCAACTGGTTGATTGGGTAGATGGTGGTATCTGAAGATCTGGTTTGGAGGGAAGATAATGTTAATTTTGGGTATGTTAAACTTAAGTTGCCTATGAAAATAGCAGCTATCAAAATGTATAAATACACATTTATTTGCCTATTTTCTTTTTACTCTCTGAGAGCAGGGACCGTGTTCATTCTGTTCACTGTTGAAATCAATGCCTAGTATGGTGCCTCAATAAATATCTGTGAATGGGGTGCCTGGGTGGCTCAGACGGTTAAGCATCTGCCTTCGGCTCGGGTCATGATCCTGGGGTCCTAGGATCGAACCCCACATCGGCTTCCCTGCTCAGCGGGGAGCCTGCTTCCCCTTCTCCCTCTGCTGCTCCCCCTGCTTGTACTTTCTGTCTAATAAAAAAATTTTAAAAATCTTTAGAAAAAAAAATCTGTGAATGAATGAACTGAATGGATGCAGTTGAAAATGACCAATGGCAGCCTGGAGTTTATGAGAAAAAGTAAGGGCTAAAATTAGAAATCTGATGGTCACTATCATAGCTACCATTCAGTGAATGCTTACTATGTATTGAACTAAACACTTCAAGCAGATTAGCTCATTTGGTTCTTTTTTTAATATATACTTATTTACTTGTTTGAGAGAGAGAGAGATAGAGAGGGCACAGGTGGGGGAGGGGCAGAGGGAGAGAGGGAGAGAGAGAGAGAGAATCTCCAGCAGACTCCCCCTGCTGAGCATGGAGACCAATGCAGGCCTTGATCTCACCACCTGAACTGAAATCAAGAGTCAGACGCTTAACCGATGAGCCACCCAGGCACCCCATAGCTCATTTGGTTGTTCAGACAATTCTGAGGGATATTGTTATCCCCATTTTATAGATTGGAAAACTGACATTTGGAGAGTCAGTGTCACACATAATGAATTATGTTATTTATATTAGCTATGGAAAGAAATGAAAAAGGAGATAGCTTTTAGGGGGATGTAAGGAGTTAAGGGACAAGAGATTTTGATGAAGTTGAGTGAAGAAATTCAGTGGGAGAAAAGCCCTAACGGAGCTGAAGAGTGAAGAGGTAGTGAGCTCAGTAGCAAAGAGTTGGTGAAGATGTGGAGAACCCTCCTACATGGCTGGTGGGAATGTAAAATGGTGCTGTTGCTGTGGAAAACAATTTGGCAGTTCCTCAAAAAGTTAAACATAGAATTATATGACCCAGCAATTCCACTGCTAGGTATGTACCCAGGAGAATCGAAAACAGGTACTAAACAAATACTTGTACCTGAATGTTCATGAAACCATTATTCACAATAGCCAAAAGGTGGAAACAACCCAAATGTCCATCAGTGGATGAGTGGATAAACAAAATATGGTATATACATTCAATAGAATATTATTCAGCCATGAAAAGCAACTTTTATGGATTGAATCATGTCCCCCAAAATTCATATATTGAAGTCTCAACCCCCAGTATCTCAGAATGTAAGAATATGCAGAGATAAGTTCTCACAGAGGTGACTAAGTTAAAATAATGATCCTAAGGTGGGGCCCTAATCTGGTATGACTGGTGTTCTTATAAGAAAAGAAAGAGACATCTAGGGCACCTGCTCACAGAGGGACATCCATGTGAAGGGGCAACAAGAGGGCAGCCATCTATAAGCCAAGAAGAGCAGCCTTTAAAAGAAACCAACTGGGTGCCTGGGTGCTTCACTTGGTTAGGCGTCTGCCTTTGGCTCAGGTCATGATCCCGGAGAGATTCTCTCTCCCTCTGGCCCCCCGCCCCCACGCACTTGCTCTCTCTCTCTCTCTCTCTCTCTCCCCCTCTTTCTCTCTTCAAAATAAATAAGTGAATCTTAAAAATATGAAATGGTTAATTTTATGTTATGTGAATTTCATCTCAGGGAAGGAGACAGAGAGCACAAGTGAGAGAGAGTGCTATTTTGAGTTTTAGAGGTAGAGCAGAGGCAGGTTATTCCCAAGTCAGAGGAAGTCATGGAGAAGCAATGGTGAGGATGAGGTTTGGAAGCTTAAGGGAACAGGATAAAAAGTCAGGGTGTTGGATCCACATGGACCTTAAAATCATCCAGCAGGATGGCAGGGCTTGGGGTGGAATGCAATGACTATGAGCTGGTGCCAGAGTCTTTCGAATATGTGCAGATTGTACCCCAGAGGTTTGTAGAGGATGCTGGTAAGGAAGCTTAGACAGAGTGAGAGAGGGATGGTCAGAGATGCCAGAGGAGAGCCATTTTCCTGAGGGGTTGGATGCAGGTTTAATGTTTTGGGAGTTGATCTGGAGATAGCAAAGAATGCTGACCCTTATTCCTTGCCCTGGACACCAGCAGGAGATGAACAGTCTCAGAGGGTGCTCAAGTTTTAGAGAAGGCAGGCTGT